ATTCCTTTGATCCCCTCCTGCCTGCATTCCCCTCTCAGCTTTTACTATTTATCCCAAAGCCACCCTTCATCTTTAAGTTACAGCACCCTCTACTGAGTTGTTAGCAACATTACATTGTGGCCGTTTTTTCCAATAGTGGCTGCTTTTCCTTCAGAGGGAAAACAACACTTTGAAAATGTCCTAAAGAGATGAACGTTCTGCAGACTGAATTGCTCTCAAACTATTTGAAACTTATTACAAAGATACAAGTACAGTCCCATTACTACAAAGAAATAAGTGATCATGAGTTTGAAGATATTATGAAGATACAAGCAAACTTCAACGTAAAAGACATTCAGTTTTTGAATATATGTAGCAAAAAGACATGAAAGATATAAAAAACAGCAAAAATTCCTGTTTTAAAAATGGGTGATGAACACTTTAAAGTGAGAAATATGCATTTGAAATTTCTCTCACCACAGCATAACTTTTAAAATGAATGTTGGAGGAGTAATCTTTTATTGTTTTATAGATTCTTAGTTTTACCGTTATTTATACAACCCAAATTTCTTCTAGCTACAGAACCTTGGAGGTATGATTATTTTCTGTCTCCTCTGGCTAAATTGTATACTCCATGGGGATAGAGACCCCTTTACATTTCTATATCCAAATTTTTTGTGTGTGTGTGAGGAAGATCAGCCCTGAGCTAACATCCGTGCTAATCCTCCTGTTTTTTTTTTTGCTGAGGAAGACCGGCTCTGAGCTACCATCTATTGTCAATCCTCCTCCTTTTTTTTTCCCCCAAAGCCCCAGTAGATAGTTGTCTGTCATAGTTGCACATCCTTCTAGTTGCTGTATGTGGGACGTGGCCTCAGCATGGCCGGAGAAGCGGTGCGTCGGTGCGCACCCAGGATCCGAACCCAAGAACCCTGGCCCACCAAAGTGAAGTGCACGCACTTAACTGCTAAGCCACGGAGCTGACCCCAAAAATATTTAAAACCATGAATTCACAGCAATACCACTAATTCAAATCCAACTACAGGGTTCATTCTAGCTTTCCTCTTTGCATGTTTGTAACTCATATCTCTGACAGTAAGAAGCCTAGCTCTCATTATCCTCAATGTATTTACTTATTTGCTCAATCTCCTTGTATGTAACCCATCTCCCAATCCATTAGGCTGCTGCCCTGCTCAGCCACCTTCTTTCTTTGAACTTTGACCCATGCTGAGCAGCTTTCCTCAAGCCTGCCTAATGGCTTTTAACTGGTGATGAAGGAAGGAAAGAAGGGAGGGAGGGAGGGAAGAAAATGGAGGCTTTACATACGAAAATATAAGTATAAAATATTGAACAAATTTCCATGATTATTGATTCTTCAATAGATGTGCAAATTTTTTTTGCATTTTAAATCTATCTTCAGAACAGAATTTACATAAATTTTCACAAACTGAAGACAGTCTTAGCACAGTCTTTTCAAAGCCATTTCAAAATGATGAGGCATGTAATTTTGAAGCGAGTTTGTATTTGACACAACTTTTTGAAATGGGAAGTATTTTCATGATTTAGTAATGATGGCAATTCTTCTGTAATTAAGTGCCATGTTTTTATGATTGAGAGTTGTCTACATTTACTTTTGGGGGGTTTGGAGGTAGTGAACAGGTGGAGCAAAAGACAGAATTCACCTTCTTCTATGGAATTCTGTCTCCTAAAGGACTTGGAAAATCTGGGGAGAATATCCACTTAGCTTAATTTGATAAATGAGTCAAAACTTAAAATGATTATTGTCTCCCTAAAGACTACTAGGATATTCAAGTTCAAAATTCATTGTATGATAAAACTATCTTTCCAGTAATGATGATGGCTTCACACTGAGCCAATCAAATTCTCTTACATAGTCCACTTTGTGGTCCCTTAAATCTGAGACGGCAGTGACCAGGATTTTAAAATAGAGTTTGGCCTTGTGGAGAGGCTGAGACTTTGGTCTTATTAGCACCACTCAATAACTAAATGGTCCAGCAGTTAAAAAGGGTGAACTTGCTTACTAGCTAAAACTATGAAAATCTAGATAATAAATAATTGTAGATTATTTAAGCAGATTCTCTCTAACTGCAAGGTGTTTAATGTAGGTGCTGACATAGGTCTTCAAAGACCAAAATAGGTGAAATTGATAAAGTTTGAAGATTGTTCCAATGTAAGATGGTAGTACTTGAGAAGGCTAGAAGTTGGGAAAATAGAGGCAAGCTAAATTGGGCTGAACTTGTGTCCTGACCACAGAAATGAATTGGGTTCAGGAAATTTGAGTGAGTTCATGGTGTCTACTGTTGGCCTCTGTCAGAACCACTGGTCGTTGGAAATTACCAACATAGAAATGGGCAGGGATGCCCTCATGCAGATGTTTAAATGTCTATGTAATGTTTTCTTCTCTCATGTGAGAAGTTGCTATTGTTAATTATACCTTTATTTGGTATTATAATGCTATTTTCTTAATCCACTGCATAAGATACTCTTGTAAAATACAGTAAAAATGAATTATTAGAAAACAAATAAAAAAGACAAGCCTTGAGTTTGTATTAGATTCAGTCAATGTAAAATTACTCTATCAAACTGCTATAAAGTTTCAAATGCTTCCCCTTAATCTCTGACTTACCTTGTTGTGAACAGGTAACAGCTTGCACTCTTGCACTAGTGTGCAAACCACACTTTGAGTGGTATTACTTTATACTAGCAGGGCCTCTCAAACTTTAATGTATGAAAGGATCACCTGGGGCTCTTGTGTTAAGTGCGACACTTATTCAGCAGGTCTGGGGTGGGCCTGAGGTTCTGCATTCCTGACAAGCTCCCAGGTGATCCTGATGCTGCTGGTCTGCAGCCACACTTTTGTGTAACAAGTCTTAAAGTTTATGTACTTCATAAACTATTTTTATTTTCACAGTGATCTTTTGAGCTAAGTATTCTTATTCCATTTTATTCATGTTCAAGTCAGATATTAAGTCAGATTTATTGAGGTATAATTTCCACAGAGTAAAATAAAGCCTTTTTAGTGTACAGTGCTGTGCATTTTAACATACTCATACAGTTGTGTAACCACCACCACAATCAAAACATAGAGCAGTTCCATCACCCTCAGAAGTTCCCTTATGCTCTTATGTAGCCAACACCCCCACCCCACCCCCCAGCCCCTGGCAACCACTGATCTGTTTTCTGTCCCTATAATTTTGCCTTTTCCAGAAGGTCATATAATGTATTGTTGCATGTATCAGTAGTTCATTCTTTTTTATTGCTGACTATTATTCCATTGTATGAATGCAACACAGGCTGCTAATCCATTCACTTATTTAAGAACATTTTGCTTGTTTCTGGGTTTTGGCAATTATAAATAAAACATTCTATAATATTCTTGTATATAAACTATAAACATGTTTATATGCTATATACATTCTTGCTATAAACATTCTTGTACAAGTTTTTGTGTGAACATAAGTTTACTCAGTAAAAATTTGGACAGGTAATTCCTCTAATTACTATAGAAGAAAAAAAAAGGAAAATAAAAACACAAGTCTGGGATGATTATTTCAAGCAGCTTCTCTTTAAGTACAGAGTATCCACAGTAGGGGTTAAAAAAGGTTTTTGAAGACAGAGAGAAAATTTGATGAAGTTTGAGGGTCTTTCCAAAGGAAGAGGGTAATTCTTAACAAGACTGGAAATTGGAAGTAATATAAGCAAATAAGTTGATTCAAAATGATTATACTAAACAGGCAGTCCTCAATTTACAAACTCTAGATTCACATATGTCTTAAATATATGGTATGAGAGAGAGGAGGTAAATTCAGGGTCTGAGTTCCTGGATTTTGTTGGAACTGGTCATTGTTTAGCGATTCAGAAGATGTGAGGAGAGCCTTACTTACAAGCACAGAGTTGTGTCTTCTGCAGATAATAGGAATACAATGATACTTTCTATTAAACAGCTGTGGATGAACAGAGGATTATTACATTAAATATCTCATTTGATTGGCACTTGAGAGTATTAAGACCTCTCGCATACAATATACAACCTTGTTGTTATGAGGCAGATATTCATACTCTCATTTTACTCAGAGAGGCTGTGCCACATCTCCGAGTTTACCCAGCTGAAGGATTAGGACTCTGGTATTTTCTAAGTCCTGTGTTCCTTCCCCTATCCCATGTTATGCAGTAAGAAGTGCCGGCTTACCTGGGCAATAAACCCCAAGCTCTGTAGCTGCACCCATCTCGAGAGGGCGGGGCCTGCGGTTTTTCTAAGTGCTGTTGGCGGGTGCTCCCTGTGATTTATCAGGCGCAGATCGTACTAAGCTGTAGAGCAAAGTACGGTACTCCCTCTTGTTACCACTGCCCGCCCGGATGAACATTGATCTTTTCTGCAAAAGGCCCTTGAGTTGCTCCTTTTCGTTTTGTGCCCCACCCCCGTTTTATTGAGATATAATTGACATATAACACTGTATTAGTTTTAGGCGCTCCTTTTTAACTGCTTTCACATTTCACTCCTTTGCTTCTTAAAGCAAAATTCCCATCCCAGGTGTGCAACCACCCAACTCCCTCATTTTTGTGAATGGAAAACAGGCCCAGAGACGTGTAGTGTCGGTGAAATCACACGAAAAAGTCAGAGATCTGTGCGAGACAAAGCCCGATATGGCCCAATTTCCATGCAGAGAACCAGCTCTGGGCAGTTCGCCAAGGCTCCAAGCCGGAAGGAAAGGGGGCCTTGAAGTGAAGTAACCTGAGCTTCAAACCGCTCCCCACAACCCCTTAATTCGCTGATGCTGAAACCCACGACCTCTGGGGGCTGCCTCCTCGTACCGCCCCCCTGACAGCTGGACTCGGGAATGAGCAGAACTCACTCCTCAGGTCCCACAGGCCCCCCGAGACCCACCCCGCGGCCCTTGCACTTCCTGCCCGCCCAGGCAGGGCCCGGCCCGTCCCTCCGCGCCTCTCGCGGAGGCGGGCGTCGGGCGAGCTCCTCCCCAGGCGGCGGCGGGAGCGGCCACTCCCTGCGCGCCGAGCCGGGCCCGGGAAGGTCCTCGTCGCGCCCGGGCAGCCCTCGGCCCTCCGTGACGCCCCTCGGCTGGGCCGCCCCGCGCCTCCGGGACCATGCTGCGCTGGCTGCGGGGCTTCGTGCTGCCCGCGGCGGCCTGCCAGGATGCAGACCCGCCGACGCGCTACGAGACCCTCTTCCAGAAGCTGGACCACAACCAGGACGGCGTGGTGGACATCGGCGAGCTGCAGGAGGGGCTCAGGAACCTGGGCATCCCCCTGGGCCAGGACGCCGAGGAGGTGGGTCGCTGCTGGGCGCGGCCTGAGGGCCAGGAGGGCTGCGGGGACTCCGGGCGCTGCCAGGACGGAGGGCGGCGGCCCGCGCCTCCGCCAGGAAGAGGGTAGAACGGTGGCTTCCAGCCCGCGAAGGGGTTCAGAAGCTCGGGAATGGGGCCCGCGGCCAGTTACCCCCGTAACGGATGCGCCTCGGAACGTGAAAAGCGACCGGTGTTTTTCCAGATAAAATTAGTGCAGTGAACGCTCTGGCCCACTGTAACAATTTAAAACCCTGTACCACAATATTTTCGGTCTGAATGCATCCCAGGTCCTTTACCTGCCTTTTTGCGCCTTTGCAAACATTTGATCAAGTTTTTTAGCTCTCATCCTTTGCAAACATTTAATCAAGCTTTTTAGCTCTCAGACTTCAGTGGGCCCCAAGTTCTGTAACAAAGGCTCACACTGTGTATCTCTTCGAAGCTGCTTTGTTACACTAGCTAGATTTGTCTACTGTTTCAGAACTGTTTGAAAACCAATCGTATGTTTCCCCCAACTTCCTGTTGAAGAGGAGAGGCGACATTCCATCGTTTTAAGACATTCTTAATGCCCTCAGTACATAAATTGATCTGAAGGGTTGACCCGTCGCTGAGCAATTTCAACTCCTCTGAGTCATTTTAATTGTGTCGCTGAAGTTCAGCTCCCTTAGCGGGGTGGAGATATTTGGAACCGCTCCAACCCCGCTGAAACCTAAGAAGACATTTTGGCATTCCCTGTCCCAACAGGGAAAGTGATTAGGTAACTGGAACAGCCAACAACTGTTCTATATATTTTAAGTTACTCATTAAATGTCTTCAGTAGTTACAGGCCTCTTCGGTTTACTGTTTTTTCTTGAGTTAGATTTCCTAAGTTACAATTTTTAGGAAACTGTCCATTTTGTCGATGATTCATACTATTCACTTATGACTTTATAAAATTTCTGACTGTATCTATAGTTATGTTCTCTATTTCATTCCTGCTATCTTTCCCACCCCCTTCAATCTTGCCAAGGGTTTATCTATTTTATTTATACTTTGAAAGAACCAACTTTGGTACATTTTGCTGATTGTCTGTTTTTTTTCTTCCATTAATTTCTGTTTATTTTTTTCTACTTTCTTTGGGTTTATTCATTTGCTCTTTTTCTAATTTCTTGAGAGGAATGCTTGATTTATTAATTTTGAGCTACAATATCCCTTTAATTGCTTCTTTAGCTGCATACCACAAGTTTGTATTTTTGTTGTTATTTAGTTCCAAGTATTTTCTAATTTCCAATATGATTTCATCTTTGACCCATGAATTATTTAAATATGTGCTTTAAATTTCCAAATATTTTTGGTTGGTTCTTTGAAAATATGAATAAAATAGACAAACTTGTGGCAAGATTGATTAAGAAAAAGAGAGAACTCAAAATCAGGAATAAAAAAATGTCTTTGGTTTTCCAAAGTTTATTTAAATTTATTAAATAAAATAAGTTGTATAAAACTGTGTATGTGCAAACACATAAAACAGGATGGCATATATTTATCACTATAATATATATTATAATATAATACATATACATAAAATAAATTTTATATATACATAATATATACGTATATAATATCACTCCCTATACTCTTGCCAGATATTAATAACTATTCCCAGCACTCTTTTTTGACTGGTGGTACATCTGTCAATAAAAGGTTAATAATGGTTATTTCTGGATGATAGGAATTAAATTACTTTTTAACTATTTTCTTTACAATTTTTGTATTATTTCAATTTTAGAAAATGATCATGCACTATTTTTATGATTAGAGAAAAAAGAAAGTTATTTTTATTTTGGATAACTGTCACCCACTGTGGGATGAGCCTTTTTGGACCACCCTCTACAGAAGAGTTGATCACACCCTACTACGTGTAGGTCCTCTCTCTCACACATTACTACTGTTATAATTTCAAGTGGTGTTATTTTTGTTTGTTGACTGTGCCCTCCACTAAGACCAAGCATCTTGAGGATGAGGATCATGTCTTATTCATCTAAGCAAAATAATTCAAAAAGATTTTAAGACTGTGATTTGAAATACCCTAAAGAAGCCAGTGGCTCATTTGAAATAAAGAAAAAAAGGGCAAAATTTAATTGTAAAGCAGTTGTTAGTGCTTCTAGTTTCAGCATACGTAGGACAAGATAAGCAAAAATCTGCCTGTTGCAAGATACCAACACATGCTGGATAATAAGATAAACACTAAAAAAATAAATAGATAAATAAATAAAGCCTTTATTTTTTTAAAGAAATTTTAGGTTTACAACAAAACTGAGAGGAAGGTACAGAGATTTCCCATATATTCCCTGCCCCTACACATCACATGCGTAGCCTCCCACATTGTCAACATCACTGACCAGAATGGCACATTTTTTACCAAGGATGAACCTTCATTGACACATCGTCATCACGCGAAGTCCATAGTTTACCTTAGGGTTTACTCTTGGTATTGTACATTCTGTGGGTTGGACAGATGTATAATGACATGTATCCACCATTATAGTATCATACAGAGTATTTTCACGGCCCTAAAAATCTTCTGTGCCCTGCCTATTCATTGCCCCTCTCCCCACTGATCTTTTTATTGCTTCCATAGTTTTGCCAGACAAATATCTTTTTATATGCATAGATAAGCTTATAAGAAAAATACAGTCAAAACTGCCTGGGTTTAAATCTTAGAAATCTTAGTTCTGCTACTTGCGAGTTAACTTTGGGCAATTTTCTTAATCTCTCTAGCTTCAGTTTCCTCATCTGTGATAGAGGTAACACGACTACCTGTCTTAAAGGGTTATTATGAACAATAAATAAAATATGTAAAGTACTTAGAATAATGCCTGCTAACTAATAAGCAATCAGTTAACTGTTAGCCTTTAAATTATCTAGTACTGTTATTGCAATCACTACTGAAAGACAGGCATCAAAATCTCCCTCTATGATTGTGCATTTGCCAATTTTTCTTTATAATTCTGGCAACTTTTCCCTTTTATATTTTGAGATTATAAGCATATTCACGTTTAGCATTGTTGTGTCTTCCTGGTGAATTGCTCCTTTTATCCTTATGATTTCTTGCCTACCCTTATAGCATATTTTTCAAATGCCTGAATCATTGCAGTAGCCAGGGTGTTCCCCTCAACCAGGTCATTTTCCCAGGTCACCTCTGGGAAATCTTCAGCATTTGGGCTCCCGCCTTATGTGAGGTATTATCCTTGCCCCATATTCCACGCAGGGTTCTTTGCCTTCTGGGTGGTGAGTGAGCCAGTTACCAAACCCTATGTCACCGCCTCTTGTCTTGGACCACTCCTGCTACTAACTGCATCAATTCAGGTCCTCCCAGGAGCAGAAACCAAGATGGGATAGGTGCGAAAAGATTTATTGAGGAAATGCCTGTGAGGGGTAAGGGAGAGGGAACAGGAGTAAATCAAGGGGATCTTCAGACCATGATGCAAGTTTAATCCCTGTCAGAAAAGTGCCAGAAGGAAGGACTGGTTTAGGAAGAACTTCAGACCAAAGCATAGTTCTTAGAAAGTCTGGACTAGGCTAACGGGGCGGGGCGTCACTGAGGAAATGTTATCTGTTAGTGGAGTCCTGCATTGGCTGCCCAGGGCTAGTATCCTGCTGGGGCTAGTCACTGGTTGGAGCAGCCAAGGCAAGTGTGGACGTGGTGTGAGTGCTGCAGCGGGTCCAAAGGTCCAAAGGTGTGGCAGGGTAGTCAACTCTGCTCCCGCAGTGCGTTATCTTGAAGGGCGATCTAACCTGACCACCACAGACCACGTCTTGTGCCACACAGGTCTGCTTCTCTGCATAAGTTTGGGGAGTGCTCCTTCATGGTCCTCAGCCTCTCTTCCCCAGGGAGGTCAGTGGGACAAACTACAGGGCCCGTTGCTTCAGTTGGTTACAGCTGGTACTCATTATTTCCCTTCTTGACTGTCTATTTTAAATTCCACTCACACTCAGCTATCTTCTTTGCAGGTCTTTGTGAATCACCTGGTGGTGTGACTCACACCTTCATTCCTGAGGGGTCTGAGCTTCTCAAGCCAGTGTTGCTGCATGTGCCCATTCACAGTTATAATTGGGCAAGGGAATAGCAGGCAGCATCCACGTGGATCATCTGAGTGCCATTCATATTCCTCTCTGTCTCCATTGTGTAAAAGCAGCCCTACTTCCTGCTGATCCAAGTCAATTTACACCTACTAAGATGGAGACTTCTTTTCTTGCCTGTTGGTCTCTCGACACAAGGAGTTCCAAATGTCCAGGTGGCAGATATAGCTTGTAGTTCAGTGGGACCCTTGTTGTGTTCCCTGGCAAGAGTATATCCTGTTTGGGGACCAGAAACTAACCCTGCAGATTCCAGAGTTGTGGGGACAGGAAACAAAAAGTCCCCCAGTGGGTCACTGGGAGTGATAGTAAGGGGACCACTCCTGCTTCCACCTTTTGGTTCCTGGACTCATGTATTCTTCCTGTTGGGGGCACAGAGGCATACAGAAGTCTCTGATTTCATGCATATACTGCATCCCAAAGGGTGGCAACCCATCTTTGCCAAATGTTGTCTCCTAGGTGGTGCTTCAGCCGTGCTTTCAGGGGTATGTGATATGGCCAGTGGATCCCTTGGTCCTGGGCCTACTCCCACACCTCTTTCACTATGAAGCAGACACCCTGGTCAGATGCTATGTTATGTGGGGATTTCATGCCTGTAGATCAGGCATTCCATAAGCCCCCAGATAGTGGTGCTGAGTCTTTGTGGGCAGGAAATGGAAACCCCTACCTGGAAGAGGTATCTATTCCTGTGAGGAGGACCCAGTGCCCCTTCCAGGACAGGAGGCACCCAATATAACTGACTTTCCACCTGGTGACCAATTGGTCTTCTTGAGGAATAGTGTCATATCAGGGGCAGGCAAGGGCCAGATCATGAAAGGCATTGTGGACCTGCTGGGTGGTTTGGATTTTTCTTATATGAGTGATGGGAGC